TCCCGCACCATCCATACATATCACCGTTACGAAAAGTTCAAACGAAAAGCAAAACGACTGCGTCAAGAATTCATCAATCTGCAGCGTCCCGTAACGCTGCGAAGTAAACATTATTACGCGTTAAACAGCTAGGTAGAAAATACAATGTAGACCGAAAATGTACAAAATATGAACAATCTGCTATTGTAATATCAATGTGATAAGTATAAGAAACAAAGGCACAAATAATGTATCACTTACAATATGTATCACTGAATTGATGAAAAGCAACCTATATCACGAATAATTAAAATATCAAGTAGGAAATGTCGAGAAAAAAGCAGCTTGCACCAGTCATGGATGCCAACGATCCAATATTTAATCCTAGCAAGCGTTAACATAGCCTTCTACTTCCGGCCTGCAAAGTGAAGATGTGAACTTACAAAGCAGTCACCCACACCAAGTGAATCAGCAAGCCACAGAAAACCGATTTCACTTCACATCAGATGAGACAGCTTGCCAAACAATGAAAAGCAGTAATACTGAAACTGCCAACAATTATTGACAAGCGGCTTAGATATAACGCTTTCGAAATCAAAATAAAACTTTCCATTTGCAAAATAACTTTCTGGAAGTTCAGTAATCCCTTTTTAAATTTCTTTGCTGCTGCGAATTTTGAGGAGGATATCGCACTCTGTGCAACTGACTGGACATGTCCCCACTGGGTCTATTAGTTGCTTTGTTTCCGCGCTTGAATGTTTGGCGCTCTCGGTCAACTTCTAGTTCTTCCAGCCTAAAATTATGTAAATTTTCAACCATAACCGTTAAAGATTTGATTTTTAGGCTTCATCTATAGAAAGAAACTTTTCATGTTTCTTCCAAAAAGTCTTACCCACGCGTTAGGCGCTTTTTTAGTAGATCGGTTATAAATGAAAAGGAAGTGAATAGAGGTCAGCAAAAAACTGCAGCAGAAAAACCGGATGCAAATGAATATAAATAAATGTGCACCTTTGTGTAAGAGCTAATTTTTGTTGGATGGCCATACGTAAAAGTGAATTTAAAGTTTTCTTTTCCTCTTCAGCTGCCTTCTGATTTGCTTTCAGCTCATCCACCTAAATCAAAAAATAATAAGAATTTAAAATTAAATTAAAAAACACAGTGAAAAGAAAATTACCTCAGCTTGCAATTCTTCACACCGTGCGGTAAACATCGCTCTATGAGATGCGAATGTAGCAGCATCTTCCTTAAAAGCTTTAAGCTCCCTCCTGTGTTTTTCCAATATGTCATGGGTCTGAGCCTTTTCACTTTCGTATTTCTCCTTCAGTGACGCTAAGGCAGATTCTGCTGTTTGTTTATTAGACCTCAATACAGTGCGCAAAGTCACTATCTGCTCTCTGAAATACGACTTCAATATGCAAAAGAACGATATTTCTTCTGAGAAAAACAAAATTTTGACAGTCCCACTGAATAAAACTTCAAAAACCTTGCCAAACAATAGCAGCGAGTGCAATAAAAAAAATGCTAAACCGTTTAGTTGCCAGCTGTGACCGAAGTTTCATGTTCTGAAGAGCCAGTTCTTGGTTGTCTTCTGCTTCTACGCGAGCATTCATCGCACTTTCAACAGTCCTTCGCACTATTTTTGTAAGTTCTATCAGCGATTCAGAAACTTTAAATATATCTCCATCACCTGAAAAACTAAATTAAATTGCATTTCCGAAAACACTAAAATTGACGGAAAACAAAAAAATTATGGTCAAACCTGGTACAATTCTTTCTCTCATGTCACCCTCCGAAACTATTTCTTCTATTCGTTGACCAGCAAGTTTTTCATTCAGTGCCTTCAAAAATGCAGCAGAGAGTACATGCCGTTGAAGATTTAAAGATATTCGAGGCAGTTGCCCATTTTCTGTCTCGGTACCGCTTTCGACTCCTTCATCAGCAACTAAAAACACCAACATCATTAAACAAACTCATATTACTAAATTACACGATAAAATAGAAAAATAGAAAATCTTTGGATGCAGTAATGACAGTAAAAAGCTAAAAATGAAAGGTATTCTGCTAGGCAGGTAAGTATAGAGACGTAAGCAAAAAAGAAATTGATGTAATAATATTTTTAAGAAACCTTGTACAAAGTCCTCGCTCTCAGCATTATCTTTAGCGTACTGCCGTAATTTCTTCATCACTTCCGATGCATTCTTGTCTGTTTCCAAACCGTTAGTTGTGACCAACTGATGGTAAATTCGGTAAAGAAAATCAGCTACAGCAATCATTTGATCCTATAAAAAGCGTTATACGAAATTACCGAAAAACAAAAATTTTGCTTTCTAGATACTATGTATATGTGATAATCAACTTCAAATGTCAATTAATAAAGTCTAGAATATTCACCTTATAAACACTTCAAAAAACAAATATAGCAGTAGAGGAAGAAAGATATGAATAAAATCAGTATTCTTTCTCATAGTTGCCCCCTCATCTCTACAAATTCTGTACTATAACGCAAAACCGTTCCCGACAACAAATTTAAACAAAATTTTACTCTGGCTTTACTAAAACCAATCCTGCCTTCTTTTTTACTTACTTGCGCTGCTGCAATGCGCGCATAATATGCTCCAGCTGCCATCACAGCAACTCGTAAATCGGATTTCAAGGTTCCAAAGTTCTTCTCGCCGAATTCCACCTTTGCAGCACTCTCGGAAAGCTCATCAATTTTGGACAACGCCAACTCGCAAAGCTGCTTTAACTGATTATGCTCTACTTCTAAAAAAGTCATTAGTTATCTCAACAAACTTCATTTTCTACATAAGCAAATGACAGTTCTAAAACACTTTATCAAGCAAACACTGATAAACTCTGAAGTGACACAGCTATGAAATGGGAATAAACCATGAAATAACATCCACAGTATTAATGACATACCAGCATTATTAGTTACTTCAAGTTTCCTCAAAAGCGGAGTTACGAAAGCAATATCTCGCAGAACATCCTTCAGCTTGAGCGATAGCTCATCATTTTTGTTCTCCAATTCAGACACCTTTTCCTCCATATCTCCATTAATTTCAGAAAAAAGATCAGCACCTTTTGAAGGTCCTCTACCGAATCCGTTGCCCTCGGCGATAAAAGACGACTCTAACTAAATAATGAAGTTTTATAACCGTGCATTTCCTCAATGGTGGCCTGACCCTCAAACAAATTACAAAAAAATTACACTAAAATGGAAATCTTCTAAACACGGTTTTCATCTAAATCTGGTAAAAACTTATGAACTTCCATGATTCGCAAGCAGGCAATAGAGACGTCCGGATAAAACGGTTAAAAAAGACTTCTCAGCTACTTTTTAAAGAACACTCCAAGAAGTGTACAACAAGAAATTCCAAGAAATTCAAAAATACAAAAAGACATAAAAACCAAAAGCGACAAATCGCAACATGCATCAACCATCTGTAAAAGAAACGCGCGATTTAATGAGACATTAAAGCCCTGAGGTCAATTTCCCAAGACTCGGAAATGCTGAAGGTGCAACGCAATGAAGCTGCGGAAAAACCTGAACTGTGCTGCTCGCAGCAATCATAATGTAGAAAAAATGCAAATATGAAAGTAACTTCTTTGAGACCAAAAAGCTACAATAACAGAGGTGACAGGTCGCAAAAACACTTTTCATCAGAATGCAAAAAAAGCGTAAAAGTTTGCCGATAACCCGGAAAATAGGCAGATCCTGCAAGCTACTGCCAAATCTAATCCAATCCATCCCCTTTCTGTAACACATACGAATGCCATTGCTGTTACTGTCCTCCAGTGCAACTCCCAAACAAATTATCCGGAATGTTACACTTTGTACGGCTTTTTACCATTAATTTTATCAAGCAACACAACAGTAAACTTCTATACCAAATTTCTTGCACATTTCCAATGGCTCTCTGCTAGTCCCTAGCTCTGTCACTCTACGAAACGCCGACATAATTACCACAACAAACCAAAAAAGTAATTTATTTAGAAGTTTAAGCACCGACTGTTTTATCAAACCGAGTTTCCACTGTATAAAAAAATACCGCCCTCTTTGATAAAAGTCGAAAAGCACAGTGAAAACAAAAAAAAACCTGTTTCAAAGCCTGCGAATCTTCGTCACTGTTAGACTGGAAGCCAAAGAGCATAGAGTTTAACTGTTGCAGATGTTCCGCATTACGCATCTGATCCAATTCCTTCTTGTAAGCTAGCTTCTGATCTCGCTCTAATTGGATGTTGAGTAGCGCATCTTCCAGCTAAACAAAAAGATAAGCTTTAAGGAAAAAAATAATGAGGTTAATGTTGCCTACACATAGCGACTAAATGGTTAAACCAAATCTGGACCGTTAAACAAGAACGCTGACCAAGTGATGTCTGGGAAATAATTTTGAAATGAATGATAAATAACTTGGCTATCGTACCTGTTTCTCAGCTACCATAGTTAACTGATTTGCCTCTTTCCTATCCGCCAAAAGCTGATCATTTTCGTCCAATAAACGTTTTACCTCCATTTTCATAGCTTCAAACTCCACTTGTGCACTACGTAAATTAGATGCCTAAAAATGCAAGCACGCAAAAATCACAAGAAAACAAAGGCAGATGACACGGTTCATGAACAATTCCAAATTCAAGTCTTTTGAACAAAGATCCCTCTTGAAGAAAATGATTTAAGTAACTGTCGAGGAAATCACGAACAAGTTTTAATAAAAATATAATTTGGGCAACATTCAGATACGGATTTGTTACGCAATTCGTTGGAGAAGACAATAATGAACTTTAAAGAATTAACAGAAGAGTGAGCTAACAGCTAAAAATTAAAAAACGAAATTTTCCAAAAAAAGCAAAATTTTGAAAAACTCTCATTTCCGAGTTTGTCTTGCATATGTTTACTGAACAGTATTAAAGGATGATAAAGTTCAGAAAAATTATAAGGACAGAAATAGGGGCGGAGGGTTCTATAGTTTCTCTCAAACTAAACAGTTTTCAAAAGCTGTTTCTTGACGACTGTATTATATCTGATTCGTACAAATACGAATGAGTACTCTATTCCAAATATCAAATTAAACTTAGAATGGAATACACTTTACACGAGGAAAACATTATGAAATCAACCCTTTAAGCTGCTGCTACCACTACTAGTAACTCAAGCAGCCGACCTCTCCAAGTTATTTTCTTTCGGAAAAAACCATGGTAAAAAGGGAAAGAGTCTTGTCTTTCGTAGAAGGTTTCTTTCCCTCCCAACTTTCTTCAAACCATTGAGATTAAGCTAGCGAAGAAATAATTTTGTACCCAACCACAAAGTAACAGTGCTGCAAACTTTCATAATCTATATCTCTCAATATAATAAAAACTTATTTATATTAATTCGTATAATAAACGCTGATAAAGATCACAAAGACTTAAATCGCAATAATAATAATAATACCTGTTTCTGCAGGCCAATATTTTCTTCCTCTAACTCTGCATATTCATTCATTAATCTTTGTTCTCGCCCTTTCAAGTCTTTAAGTTCTTCCCTCATATGTCTCTTTTGACCCTCAAGATCTTTGACCAACTCTGAATTACTGGCGTAAAGACTTTGCAATTTTTCCAGATCTGAACGATTCATTTCACATTCCTAAAACAAATACCAGATTCTACAACAAGAATTTTAAAAAGATGAAACCAACACAAGTATTTTAAAAAAATTATGAAGCACGACTGGGAAAATTTAATGCTAAAAAGAAAAGACAATTAAAGCAAACTTTCTGTGCCGTTCTCAGTTCGTTTTCTAGCCGAGCAATTTTATTAAGGTATGTTTCTTCTCGCGTAGCTGTTTCTTCCAATAAAGTCTCTTCGTGATCTATGTCCGAAATGGTGACAGATTTCTGCTGCGACTGGAACTGTGCTAAAGCCTGTAATTAAAATAAATAGAAACTAAAAAAAAAAAACAGAGAACTTTCTGTCTGCTTATTTAATATATTTGAAGTAACTAGTATTACCTCGTAAAAGAATGAAGCAAAAAATAAAAATATTAAGTTGGCATTGGATAAAAACAAAGCCTCCTGATTCAAACGATCAAATAATGGTGTTTAGAAAGAACAACTTTGTTCAAAAATCCCTATTTTGCAATAAATATAGCCCCAAAGGATTAACTGAAAGCCTTAAATTTCCTTGGGCAAAAAAACTACAATCATTGTATATATATATATATATATATATAT